GGAAGGGCTGGATACCTTGGTTTTATCATCAAGCTCCATCTAACAAGCCTTTTGGAAATCCTGTTCACGTTGTGGAATTGCTTCTCTCCGCCTCTCAATGTGTTATTGCAATAATTGCCTACTATTATTTGTCTCGAGACCAAAACATTCCCACCCAGTTTTCTGTTTACCCTATAATCTTCGCTTTTTGTTTGTTGTGTCTCAGTTTTGGACGACGATAGCCATGAGTTTCATCCTAGTTAAGGTTTCGGAGAAAAGCAAATAATGTGGACATTTGTATGCGCTGAGATTTTCTTTCTTCTGTTTTCTATTTCGTTCCAAGGTTTTTGCTTGGTGGTTCGTCCTAGAGTGTAGTAGAGAGGTTTATATAAAATGACACTTTCGGCCTTCCCATTCATGACCTGGAGGGAGAAGAAGGCCCGTGTAATGTGCATTCCTTATTTACGTGATGTCTTTCATCTCTGTATTCCATTTTGCAATGTCAAATCTTGACTCACAACACCAATTTTTAGCATAGATTGATGAAAGTACAATTGAGGGTGGCAATCAGGTAACATACCTTTATCTCCCTCAGCTGCTTCTTGATTCATATGTTCAAAAACACCTTCAAAATGGGAAACCAAAACATTTGGCAGAAAATACATTAAAGTCATCCAAAGCAAACACTAAATTATAGATTTTAAAAAGATACGCTGAAACTACATAAAAAAATCATGCAAAACATTTGGGAGAAAATATATAAAAATATATATTATTTTAATAATTTTTTAATTAAAATGCATTTTAAAAAGATACACCAAATTAAAGCCTCATTTGTTTTCTGAAAAGTAAATTTTTACAATCTATTTTTTTTATAAAAAAAATTAAGAAAGTGTTTTTTTTTAAATTTTGGATAGAAAATATTTTCAAAAAAAATTTAAAATGTTATATTATTTGTTAATTATATCAAATTTGATATTCAAACTTTTGATTGCTATATATTTTGTTTTGAATCTTTTTTTTTAATTTCATCTTTTAAAATTTTATTTTTATATTAACTCTAATCTTTATTTTTATGATTATTATTTGCATCTCTCTTATTATTTTTTTAATTAAAATTTTTTATTTATCAAATTTGATCGTTATTCTTTAGGTTGTTTTTAGTTTATTTGAAATAATTTATGAAATTATAATTATAATTATTTTAATTTTATCATCTTTAATTTTTTTATCTGTTAGATTTGATTTTGTTTAGAGAACTTCTTTTAAATAACAAATATTTTTTTGGGTTATACATATAAATTTTGAAGAATTGTATATAACTTTTTTTTATCTTTTGTATTGCTGATTTTTATTTTTAAAAATATAATATTTTTTTATATAATATTTTTAATATATGCAACATTGAATAATAATTTTTCTTCTTTTATTATATTAATGCTTTTCTTATTTTGTTTTTCCTTATTTTTTTATTTATATGTGGATTAATACTCTTTTTCTCTTTCATTTTGTTTAGAGATCATATTTTAAATCACATGTATTTTTTTTGTTATGCATTTAAATTGTAAAGAGTTTCTTTTATTCATCTGTAATTGTTTTTTTTATATAGATAAATTTTATTTTTAAAAATATTTTTTATTTTTAGATAATATTTATAATATGTACATTGTGCGGCCTTGAATAGTGTTATTTTATTTTATTTAATTAATTTAATTTGTGTCTTTATTTCTATTATAATTTGATTGAATAAAAATATTATTTTAATAAATGTTTTTAGTAAATATAACCACATAAATATCTGGTTTTGTAAGATTAAATATATTGATTTATGCCTATCTTTTATTTTTTTAATTGTATTTTTAGTTATTATTTATGGTTTTTTATTTATTAATACAAATAATTCTTAATTTATTTGATTTTATATATATATATATATATATATATATGTAAGTATGTAAAATTTTTATTTTTATTGAAATTTTTTTAATTTTAAAAATATATTGAAAAAACTTGTAAAAATAATTTTTTTTTTAAATCTAATCCGCAGCAAAACAGCCAAATATTCAGCATATGTCTTGCGTGACAAAGCAGCAATCATAAACACCACGCCTTATCTGTGAAGTCACCGCTTGGTGACCACGTGACCAAAAGTTCTCTGATCAACAGGTGTGCGTCCCCATCGTCGTCTTGTTATTGTTCTTTCAATTTTCAATCGGTAAAAGGCAGTCTTATTTTACACGTGTTTGCTTATACTCGTCCTTCACTGTGTCAGTCTTCTTACATTCTTCTTTCTTTCCATTATTTTTTTAATTGTAAATATTTAAAATAATTTATTTGTATTTCAATTAATTTTTAAAATTTTAAAATTAATAATTATATAAACTTTAAATTACTTTAGAATTTATAAAACTCAAATTAATAATTTTTTAAAAATAAACCCAAAACCTACTAATTAAACTATATCCAACAATCAACTCTTTCTTTCCGTTTTGTTTATTATTTCAATTTCGGGCTGGTTAAAGTCCAGTCTTTTTTTATTCATTGACTTCCTATCTTGTAATTGTCCTCCACTGTGCTAGTCTTCTTGCACTACTTTTTTTCTTCATAAGTGACATGAATTGCTGGATTCTTTCCTTTCGTTTTGATTATTTTTCCAGTATAAATGTGGTCCGTGAAAGGCCAGTCCTTTTTGACTTTGAAGGGCTCGTAAAATTTTCTATGGTTACGCGTTCTTTCGCAGCTCTTTCCTTCTGCATTATTTATTTCTGGGTGGTAAAAGTTGAGCCTTCATAATAAACTGGGTCGGCATGACTCCTCACTTTCCAAAAGTTTAGGTTGCTAAGGGAAGAGAAAAGAAGACATGGAGAGCGTTGCATCTGGTTCTTTCCTTTCCATTTCAAATAAGATTCAGATTCTCAAATAAAGAAAAATATGATGATGTCTTGGCTGTTTTCTGCTTTCCTGTTGGAGATGGATCTAGCTACCTCAATACGTTTTTGGCAACGACGGGCTATATATTATCCAAATAACACACACACACACACACACAGTTTTGACAATTTTTGTTATATCTATCTTATATCCATTTATTGTTGATTTCTGATGATGCAGAAACTGTAGACAGTACTTCAATCGTCAATGATACAAGCAGCTCCCAAAAAGAAGCAGAAATTAACGGTAAATTCTTCGTTTATGTATTTTACTCTCAAGAAAATCAGCAACACACACGCTTGCCAAATAATTTTTATTAGCGGTAAATTCAGTTGTCTAACAAAAAGCATAACGGGCATTCCTCCTCTCAAAAACAGCGACTTATTCCTGGAGCCACAGCCCTGAAAGAGATCACGCCGCCCCAACTATTCAAGAATCCTATAAAGGTTTTCGGGCCAGACGAATCCTAGCAGTCAGTAAAGCTGCCGCAATTAGGATTCAAAAACACTACAGAGGTTTTCGGACCAGACGAATCCTAGCAGACAGTATAATTGCGGCTGAGTTACTATGGTTTGTGTCTTGTAGATATGATCCATGTTTTCATGTGATTGTTCTGTGAGATGCGAGCTCTTTTATTCACTTGAAGTGTGAACGTTTTGCAGGCAAACGACCCAGTCTGATATCCAAAAAATGGGTCCAGTTCCATCCGTAAACATCGAGAGTGGAAAACATATCGTGTCACTCTTGAAATGGGCAGACACAAGACTTGAGAAGGTACTTGATTTGCTCTCCACTGTTTAAAAATGGAGTTTGTTTGTACTTACAAAATACTTTTCTTGAGCTTCCAGTATGGTAATCTATCCAGCGATCAACTGGCCCTACTACATTGTTTGGAAACTGTAAGCCAACATGCGAACTTCTGTGTTTCAATATATATATATATATATATACAGCGCTGTACGTGTTATTCTCAATTCGTCAATTTAATCCTTGTGTTAATTAAACCTCGTATTAAATT